AGATTAAAAGAACTAGTACTGTAGTGGCGGTCTTTTCGGTAACACCTGTGATCCTAAGCTCACCTTTGCACGATACCGATTTAGCACTGTTCGTCCACTGACCATTTGCCCCACAGTGCTTATAAGATGGACCTTGTAGCTGGTATCCCTGTGGGCATGAGAACGAGCAAGTGGTGTTGAAATGCACCTGTGATGTCAGACAACTGTCTGGGGATGTTTTGACAAGGCGGCCAACACTTAGAACTGAACAGTTAACTACTGAAAACACAATACAAAATAAAGTGACGATCAAGATACAACTATTTGTTTATATTAAAATAAACTTTTATGGACTCCTTCAATTTGAAACTTTGTAAGTTATCTATTTTAGCAAAATTCCAGTCTTTTTTACCAGAACTTCAGAATTTCAGCTCACTGCATTGCTCGCTGATGATATTCATGAGGAGTTAGAAAGATGACACTCAGTTGAAAAAAAAAAAAAGAAATGCATGGCCTTCACATTGTTTTTAAAAGCAGCAAAGTTAAACGCAATGATCTCCTTTGACCAAACGAACCGAATGTCTTCCTGTTACCAGGCCTGGAAGTGTATTGATATCTTAACGAGTACAGCGATAAAAAAAAGTACAAACAGCAACGTTATATAGCTGGCGTTTTTCCCGCTACAGCGCACCCATTTATTGACTAGTTCATGGTCACATGACATCTAATAATGAAACTGCTTCCCGCCAAATGCCATGAGCGGGCAACATTGCGAAAACTATGACGTCAAACGGGAAACAGTTCATTTTTACCCGCGAAATGTTGACCGCTGTGGCACGTCATTTGTCAATAAAGTGATTATTTGTTTTCCACCGGTTTGACCCACTTGATTTGTTATAAAAAAAAAAAAAAATCACTTAATGACTGGTCCCTTGGGAACAGTGAATTTTGTTTCCTTTGAATCGGGAAACAAAATTCCCTGTTCCCCAAGGGACCAGTCATTAAGTGCTAAATGTCTATTATTGATCTATCATTCAGACTGAAAACGTTGTTCTAAGATAGTTTTCCTGTCTACAACTGAAATCCATGAAGGGCGATTTTTCCATATGCAACAGAATTTACTTGAAGGCAATACTATTAAGTGAGTAGTATTATCACAATTGCGACCGCAGCCGCCATTTGACACACTCATCAATATCTGAAAGAAAGGCTCTTTGTGTGATTCTCAATTAAGTTTGTGATCTGGTTTCTAATGACTAGATATGATTAACTTCTCGATGTTGCTACCTTTGCAGCCCAGAAGAAAATAATGATGTAAGAGAGATGTATTCGGTAGAGCGTACCGCTGTATGAGAGGGATTTAGCACTGTCCGTTCACTGACCATTTGCCCCACATTGCTTATAAGATGGACCTTGTAGCTGGTATCCCTGAGGGCATGAGAACGAGCACTTCGCGCTGATTTTTATCTGTGACGTCACGCAATTGTTGGGTGATGTTTTGACAAGGCGACCGACTGTGAGAGCTGGACAATTTACTATTGTGCAGATATCGACATAGGCCATAATATTATTATAAATGTAGTTTAATTTCCGTGGAAAAAATCTGAAAACTTTAGATGGCTAGCCACACTTTCCAGCACTTTTCAGCAGTTACAGTGTAGTTACACTTTACCAGATCAAGATTACAAATCTTTATCAAGTGACGTTATATTACAATAATGCAATATTGGCAAAACACAAATTCTCAATCCTCGGCGGACAGGACGTGGTCATCTTCATCTCCAAAGTATAAATGCAACGCATAACTGTCTTACGCTTTATCCTTCAATTCAAATCACACATGCTGGAGAAAATAA